TTGAAGAACAATATTAACTTTTACAAAATTTCAGACTGCTGCTTCTTGTGAATACTTGAAAGAATGAATTAGTAACTAGAAAGGATGTTTATTTGATGAACGAGACAATCATCACATCATTCAAAAGGTAGACCCCATCAAAGCCTTTGGAACTTAAAGATGAAAGTAAGCTGTTAAGTTGAATGTTTAGTTGATTAAATTGAGTTTGGTGGCGAAAATAAAGCGTATCAAGAAAAAACAGAAAAGCAATTGAGCCAATAGCTAGCAGCAAAGTATCTTGTCTTGTGCCATAAAAAGTCAAGGAACCAGTTGAATAAAGGTTTGGTTGTGAAGAATGCCTACCAAAAGTCTAAACTATGATCTTCATGTGTTTCTTCACTTTTGCAAGAACTACAATACTTTGTCGGATAAATTCATGCAGAGTTTCGAACATAACTTACAAACCACACTCAAATTTTCAAGCATATTGTGTGTGAAAAACAGAAAGATACCATTAGACAAAGATGGCGTAGTGAATAATTTTACTAAAAAAAAGTAATAGGGAAGAAAAAATTGATATATAATATAAATAATAATAATAATAAAAGTCTAACAAAATTCATGAAACAACAAAACACAATTCATGAAACAACACGACAACAAACAGTTAATGAAGCAACACAACAAAACAATAAAAATTTCAGAGTATTAGCTATGTACCAATGATATCTTCTTGTGATTGAGAATGTTGATTTCCCTAATGTGATGGAAGATCGATAATGCTTTCATTTTGTTGAGTACCTTCAAGAGTCATCTCCTTCTGTTGAGTTTCAGGAGATCTCCTTCTGTTGAGTTTCAGGAGATTGGATACTTGGAATAAAAGTACTCTCCTTTTGCTGAGTTTGAGGAGACTGAACATTTGGCAGGTTGCCCTCAAACGTGGGATTTGCAGTTTCGGTTCCTATAGACAAACCATCGGTTAATGGCAATCCTTTGTTCACATTGTCTGATCCCATATTAGTCTTCTCGGAATGCCGTTTATTACCCCTTGCTAGACTTCCTGTCTTCGTCATGTGATCTATGAGACTCTGCCGAGAATTCGGTATAATTTTTGTTCTTGAATTCCGAACTAATCCAGGAGCCATTTGAAACCTTTTGTATCAGGCAAAAAAAATAGAAAAAAATTCCATCAGAATGAAAAGTGATGCATAACTGATTGATTGATGTAAAATAGAGACAAATTGATGTAAGGCATAACATAAAGAACCAAGATACTACGAGAGAGTCTTCTTCCAGAACAACCGATTGTTGTATAATAGATGGCAGATTATCTTTGAGACTTTGATAATTCTTAGCCTAAACTTTTACTTATATGAGTGAAAGGGGGGAGAGATATTTGCTGAAGATACGGTCAAAATAATTTCGGTGTTTATCTACCTTGAAAATATAGATTACCAAAATTAAACTAACTAGTGAGCGCCAAAGCAAATTTTTTGTCCGCCAATGTTTTAGTCATCCAATGTTCACCATAATACCCTTTTCAGATCTTAACACCTAAAAAACCAAAAAACAGGCCGATTGTTATGCGAAGAAAATGAAAGCCCCGAACCTGTGGTGCCTGATGACCATGGGCGTGACAATGTCTCTAGCAAGCCTCTGAACCACCGTGACCTACGGCCAGACCTCCATCAAGAAGTGGTTTTCCAAACACCTGCTCCGTCACCAATGCAGACCCAGCCGTCCGCCCGCACCACCCACAACCTCACCCTCAGCTGCCTCTTCGACCTCGATCACTCACGATCGTCGTCTCCGTCCTCTTCCTCGCCGCTGATATCGAGCAGCAAGTGGCTGACGTCATCAAGGCGGAGGTTTCAGTTCGGATTACCTCGTGAAATTTTCTCCTCAATTAGTGAATCCAAACCAATTGTAGATGGTTTTAATCCATTTGGAAACTTAAGTACCACTTACAACATGTGGCCAGTAGTTCTTGCTCCATAAAATCTCCCCCCATGGGATTGCATGAAACAACCGTTCTTTATGTTGTCTTTGCTTATTTTTGGGAAGAAGTCACCTGGAAAAGACATTGATGTCTACCTACAACCACTGATTCAAGAGCTGAAAACATTATGGGTTGATGGTGCACAAACCTTTGATGTTCGTCGTAAAGAAACTTTCAACTTACATGCTGCTGTTTTGTGGACAATAAACGACTTTCCAGCATATGGGGATCTGTCTGGGTGGAGCACAAAAGGTTACATGGCCTGTCCCACGTGCAATGAGAAGACACATTCGTTAAGATTGCGTAATAAGATTTGTTACATGGGACATCGACACAACTTACCGAGAGATCATCCTTGGAGGAGAAGTAAGAAGTTTGATGGAAAAAGAGAAGACAATGTGGCACCTCGAGATTTAAGTGGGGAGGATGTGTTGCAGCTACGAGGATTACAAAATGTAACTCTAGGGAAACATGTCAACAAGAAAAGGAAGCGACACCCCGAGGAGTTAAATTGGACTAAACGCAGCATTTTCTTTGATTTGCCTTATTGGAGTAAGTTGAAATTAAGGCACAATTTAGATGTAATGCATATTGAGAAAAATATATGTGAGAGCATCTTAGGAACCTTGATGAGTGCAGAAGGGAAAACAAAAGATACACTTAATGCCAGGCGAGATTTGGAGGACATGAAAATTCGCAAAGAGTTGCACTTGATCAATTCAGGCGATGGAAAACATGTGATGCCTGCTGCTTGTTATGTAATGAACAAAAAAAGAATGACGTGACTTTTGTGAATTCCTAAAGTCCGTCAAGTTTCCTGATGGATATGCATCCAACATCTCTCGTTGTGTAAGTTCAAGTGATCAAAAGATATCCGGATTAAGTAGTCATGATTCCCATATTCTTAATGAATACTTCCTGTTGGGATTCGTGGGTCCTTAAATAAAGAAGTATGCGAGGTATTGGCTGAATTAGGCAATTTCTTTCAACGGTTATGCTGTTGGAAGTTGAAAAAATAAAAATTGGAGAAAATGAGAGATGATATTTGTTCGATATTGTGCAAACTAGAGAAGATATATTCTCCTGCATTCTTTGACATCATGGTTCATTTGCCAATCCATTTGCCAAATGAGGCATTGATAGGTGGCCCGGTTCAATTTAGATGGATGTTTCCATTTGAACGGTAATTCATATTAAACTATGAGCTTCTTATTTATAATTTTTTTTGTGAATGTTTTTTATAATATTGTTTTTATTTTTAGATTCTTAGGCGACTTGAAGCAAGGTGTAACTAATAAAGCTCATCCAGAAGGATCCATTGCAAAAACGTACATTGCAAAGGAGTCGTTAACTTTTTGATCCATGTACTTGCGGGGAATTGAGACTAGATTTAACAGAGATGATAGAAATTGTGATAAAACAGTTGATGATAGTCTATCAATCTTTTCTGCAAAATGTCGCCACTTTGGAGCAACAACACTTGTTGAGTTATCAGAGGAAGAGTTTAACACGGTACAATGGTTTGTCTTTCAGAATTGTGAAGAGGTTCAACCTTATATTGAGTAAGTATAAATACATATACATATAGTATTATTACACTTTATGTTTTCTTAAATAATTATATCAATGCAGGAAGCACATACAGGAGCTATTATTAGCTGGTTGTGGAAACATAAACCAAGAGCATAGAGAAAAATTTCCTTCGTGGTTCAGAAAACATGTAAAGGCCTTACAAATACAAAATATTTTATCGTCTTATTTTTACTCTTTCTTTTCATTTTAATTAAATTTTTATTTAATTAGTTGATATTTTATCTTATTCAGATGACGCATTCGTATCACGAGAATCCTACAAAAGCAAATGATCTTTGTATTCACTTGCATGTGCCCCAAGCAAATGTGTTAGAAAGTACGCTGGATGTATTGTCAATGGCGTAAGATTTCTAACGAAAGACCGTGATAGTCGTCGTAATACCCAAAATAGCAGTATCATTGTGGATGGTAACCACGGTGAAGATACACTTGAATTTTATGGTGTTGTATATGATATGATACACTTGAATTTTATGGTGTTGTATCTGATATAATTCAGCTTGACTATGTGAAAGATAGGCATATTACCATATTCGAATGTGAATGGTTTGATCTTGGGGGCAAAAAACAAAAAGGGTTACAAAAAGAGGGCAATATTGTGAGTGTTCGGATTACCAAAAGATGGTATGAGAATGACCCTTACATATTAGCTAATCAAGCTAGACAAGTTTTCTACATTAGTGATTAGTGCAACTATTTCAGCATAGGCATGTCTATGATGTTGATGAGATGCCAGATGATGAAATAGGCCCTAATGATTTGTTTTCTGTGGAAGATGGGGTATACCAAGAGAATGAAGAAAATGATGCACTTGAAGTTAGTGTTGATGAATTAGAATCACTATGTACGAATGACGTGGATTCTCAAGATATTGAGGAATCAGTGATAGAAACACTACCGGATATTGCAGAGCACGTAAACATAGATGATGTCATTGAAGAAGATGAGCCCGATGACACATTGGTTGACTATTGTAGTAATGTAGAAGATTCTAAAAAAAGCAACACTTCTTATAGTGATGACGACATTGACTGGTATGGTTGTGACTTGTGAGATTAATGATTGATCATTCAAATATCTATTCCTATATTTTTATGTGTTATCGTGTGCTTTATTTGTTGCTTGTGTTTTGATGATGCATAATATTTCTATGCAGAAACGAAAATTCGGGGTGAGAGCTGGAGAGTGCTCAAGACTGAGTACCAGGAGATCCTTCCCTCTTTGGTACTGATGTGCCAAAATTAGTTTCAGAATATTGCTTAGAAAATTAATTTATTTGTAAAACTGAAAATGGTTGAACTTGACATGATAAAATATAGTTTAAGGGCACATGTCAATTTCTATCAGTTTGTGTATACGTTAAACAATTTACTTGGCGTGTCATTTCTCAGACTTTCTTATTTTACTATTTTGCACATTTTTCATTTGACTTGTTAGATCAAAAGTTACATGGTGAGGTTTGTTTTACCTAGGTGAGTTGACTAGTACATTAAATAAACATAAAGGGCCAATATTCTCTTTAAAGTGGAACAAGAAAGGGGATTTCCTTCTTAGTGGAAGTTTGGATAAAACGGCAATCGTATGGGATGTTAAGACAGGAGAATGGAGACAACAATTTGAATTTCATTCAGGTGCTTCTTAACTAAAACATTTTTTCCTTCTAATCAAGCTTCTTTTGATGTCTGTCATTATTAATTATACCGACTATATTTATTTGCTCATTGTACAACAGCTCCCGCCCTTGACCTCGATTGGCGAAACAATGTCTCATTTGCTACATGCTCTACTGACAGCATGATATATGTTTGTAAAGTTGGGGAGAATCGACCAATTAAAAGTTTCACCGGGCATCAGGTTTGTTTCATTTGTTAATTCAATGCCACGAGTTACCTTGGCAAATATTCTACCAGTTCAAATGCGTGCAGAATTCTTATGAGATTGAATTGTGTCATTTTTTCATGAGTCGTGGATAGTGGATGTCTGGATAGATTCAGATTCCATTTTTAGGAATGAACATCACAGGTCAGTCGATTAAGGCTTTTAAATGAGCAGGATCAAGATTTGGTATCTAAATCTTATGCTCGAATAAATAGAACTATATGTTGCAGAAAAATTGAAAGAGGAAATACGTACCATGTAAATGAGTAAATCAATTGCAAAAGAATTTTGAGGCCTATCTCATAATTATCCATCTCCATTTGTTCGTGATATTCTTAAACCTCTCCGAGTGATAGCTTGAATGTGAAGTTTAAAGATTCATTTCTGAAAGAGTTCTTCTCTGTTATTATTGAACGGGTAATGACACTGGTCGTGTCTCTGTTGGAAGTCCAAGCAGTGATATTTTACTAGATTTATTCTCTCTTTGTTTAGTTTGGTAGTAAGATTCTGTTGGTTAATGGTAACATACTAACGATATGTTGCTTGTGTTTCTAGGAAAATGGGTTCTCTCATGATATTCCAAATACAGTCCATAGAAGTAAAGCCGATTGTCCTGTACCTGAGGTGATATTTTCTATTTAATTGCAAATATAACGTTTCACTTGTGCCACTATGCTTTCTTGGGGATGGTTGTTGAATTTTTTTCCTTTGCTTGCAGGAAATGGTCACTGTCAGCATTGATGGTTCAGTTCAAGATCGAATAGCTAAAATCATGTCGTATCTTTGCCTTGGTTCGTTAGGGAAAGTTCTGAAAAAGAAGAAGAGAAAAAAGATGCAAAAGGTCAATCATGGTCTAGCGAAACCAGTTTCACTTCTCTATGCATTGAAACATGTGATATTCTAGCACGGAATGTTCCTTTCAGTTTGCCGCTCAATAATTTTCATACTCGAATTGCTCTTGATATTCATGTGCTATTAAAACACTTAAAGCTAGAGGTGATTGAAAGGGTGATTTCAAAAAGATGTATATTGGATACTAGCATCATCATAAATGAGTCGATAACATGCTTTCTAATGTGCCGTTTATTTTCTTGTTGAGTCAATATTATTATTATTATTATTATTATTATTATTATTATTATTATTATTATTATTATTATTATTATTATTATTATTATTATTATTATTATTATTATTACTTTTGTGATCTGGTCTTACTTAATGGTCTCTTTTGGCTTTACATATTCTTTTTATGTTTAAATTTCTCTTCTAATATGACGTTGAGCAGGAAAGACATTAACTGTTTCTAATGGATATGTGGAAGATGAGACGACATTGAAATCTGATTCTCTGAAGAATCAAAATGCAAGAGAGATTCTTCCACCACCTCCCCTTCTTCCCAAAAGGAAGCACCATGACTCGAAAGAGAAACAGTAAATGAGAGCTCTTAGGAACAAGTAGGATTATATTTTTGTGGGTGCAGGCATAGACTACCCTATTGCCGGTAAAGATATGAGCCAGAGCCCAATCTCGGAGGACATGGAAGAATCTCCTAGAAATAAAGAAAAAAATTCCTGCTTTGTTGAACCTGCCTATGGTCTGGTTCCATCGGCAGAGCTATCTCATGATTGGCAATAAGGGGTTAGTGTGAATGTAGTTATTAGCTCAAAAACTGTACTTTTTTGGTTAATTACTAACACTACTATTGTGGATTCAAAATTACAACCACATTTGTTTCTCTTCTAAAAACTGTTCACTGAACAGAGATTTTGTGTGTTAATTTCAAGTTTCAAAGGGTGTTTATTAAGAGCCCTTTGCAACTACTCATAGCTTAAGGATAAATTTATTATGTGGAGAAAACATTTTTAGGAAAGCAGTTAAGTTAGATTTATTATGTGGAGTTTAGGTTTTATATAAGAAAAAAAAATGTTCTTGCAATTTAATAGAGGTTTTAAATATAAATATGTCCTTGTTCAATGGAAAATAGAGAAAAATGAGAAAAAAAAATTAAGAGAATCAGTATCTATATCTATATATTTATATTTATATATAATAAATTTTGAATGAATTATGATTTTTATATATGTCGCCAATAAAAGTAATCAAGATGAATAATCTAATCAAATTTTTTGATTAACTCAATTTAAAAAATAGAGAGAAGGAAAATAATTATCAAACAAACCTGATTAACTTCCAGCTGAAAATAAAAAAAAATGTAATCATTATAAATAATATTAGAGACAATAATCTAATTTTTCAAAAGGATGAGAGCAAAATGAAGATTGTGAAAAACTATACAAATTAATATTTATTTAGAGGATAATAAGAACGTTAATTTTTATTCATATTTTTATAAATAAGAATCGCTAATTTTATCGTCACAGTGAATTTCGTCAAGATATGTATTATTGTGACAAATATAGATGCATTATACTATATCGTCACAAAAGAAAGTTGAATGATGACGAATTATACCTATGCATCATTTTAAACAAAATAAAAACACTACGATTATGACTCGTCACAGTGACTTTCGTCATAATATGTTGTAATATGACGAATTTAGTTGTTTTATATTTATCGTCATAAATCAAAATTATATAATGATGAATTATTTGTAAGCGTCATTTCAAATACGAAGAAAAACAACGAATATGTTCTCGTCGTATTGAATTTCGTCACCATACATATTAATCTGACGAATGTAGATGTATTATAATGTATCATCACAATAAATAATTATATAATGACGAATTAGTCGCAAGCGTCATTTTAAATAACAGCAACTGTGATGACAGTTTGTTCGTCACATTTAATTTCGTCACATTTTATATACATGTGACGAATTTATATGTATAAGTGACGAATTGAGGTGCATTGCGATGAAAAATTCCCTTATGTGACGAAAAAAGAATTTTAATATGACGAATATAGGAGTCGTCGCCTTATGCACTGGTGTAATGACGATTTATTAAATTCGTCACGATAAGGCAACATACGGTGACGAATTTTTTTTCGTCACATGAATTTTCGTCACTGATTGGCAGATTTCTTGTAGTGTCCTTTTTGCTGGCATTTGTGGCACTTGCCTTTCGGCTTCTTTACCTTCCGTCGAGGTTGCGCGCCATTCATGACCGCTTTGCCCTTTCCTGCGGACTTCTTCCTCTTCTTGCCCTTAGGAGCCTTTGAAGTGGAAGCTTTTCCTCGCTGGGCCACCATAGCTTGGTTCTTCTGACGAAATGGGCCCTCTGCCGACTGAAGTTTAGAGACAAGTTCCGGAAGAGTCATCAACATCTTATTCATGTTGTAATTCAACCGAAATTGCTCGAAGCTCTTCGGCAAAGACTGGAGCACTATATCGACCTGGGTTTCCCCGTCAATAAAAGCCCCAAGAACCTCCAGCTCATTCAGCTGGGCCATCATAGCAAGAACATGTTCCCTTACGGGAGTGCCCTCACGCATGGTCATGTTCATCAGAACCCACATGGCCTCTTGTCTGGCAGCCCGCGACTGATGACCAAATAACTCCTTGAGATTGAGAAGCATCTCTGCTGCAGTGTTCATAGACTGATGTTGATGTTGAAGTACATTTGACAAAGATGCCAAGATGTACACTTCGCCGTCTCGTCAGCCTTTTTCCACCGAGCATATTCCTCTTTCTCTTGGTCTGGTGCATTGTCAGCAGGCACAGCCGGACAAGCCTCAACAATAGCAAACTTGTACTCCTCAGCAGTTAACACAATATCCAAGTTCCTTTTCCAGTCTATATAATTGTGACCAACAAGTTTGTTTTCTTTTAGAATTACGGACAACGAACTGAAAGACATTTTGAATTCCTGGGATCATGCAAACATAGTCTTTACTCAGTCAAGTAGTTCTGAATTTAAACATCAAATATTGATCCCATGTAACAATATTCAAATACATTCACCAACACCTCAAAGCACCGAATCCCCGCAGGCCACGGAGTGTGGACGTTTACGGTTCAAACATTCGCAAGAGGAGAGATAAATCCCATTAGCTTAACATATTGCCGAGCAATACTTAACAATTAGTTGGTTTCATCTTTTGGCCAGTGCAATTAACTTATAAAAGAATAAAAACGACCTTATCCTTTGGGACTATCGTAATTATTTGCACTTTAAGTGTAACCCATTAATTGGTACTAAGTTTACTACCAAAATTATACGTCCACCTTTGGGTGACCCGTACGCTTTTGAAATAGCTCACTATAACCATCCCGAAGGAGATTCGTCCTTGTGAACTGTAAAATAAAATGTCCTTTGGGCTCGAATTAAATCACTTCATTGACAAACCTATAATGGAGGCCTTTGATGTAATTTATTTCAACCCATTACACACTTAATATAATTTTTATTTTACGGTATTTTCTAAAACATGTTTTATTTGCACATAAGCAATCACATAAAACATGCATGATTAATAAGCAATAATAAACTAGGAATTATAATCCAACTATCATGGCCATTAATTAATCTCCAATTTTACGGAGAAAACACAGTCCTGTCCTTGTTGAATGTGTCCTCTGATTCAAGTATTGGAACTCCCCTTTCGCAGTGACTCCCACTAAATTGGTCGTCTCCAGGAAAGTCTCCATTGGATCATCACCATGACATCCATGTATGCGTTTATCGCCTCGCCTCGTCAAGGTTGGTCCACGTCCGCCGGATCAATAATGAATAATATAACAACAATTACACAATTCATCCTATGACCCACGCAGGAGCCGTACATGAGTTTCTATGAAAGCAATAAACTATGCGGTGTCCCACCGTGCGAATAATTTATTACAAGCATTCATCAACCCAAACATTCTTCGACATGTCCGAGACTTTAAAAACAGCATACATTCAACATGAATTAAAATCCATACATACGGGCCACAACAGTCGGATTCGAAATCACTTTAAAAAACTTATTGCAATTTCTAATCTACTATGTCGCTGTGTCCGTACGCACATAATTCATGTAGACAGGCAAAGTCCAAATTCAAACTGTGCACGAGGTTGAATTAAACCTGGGCTCTGATACCAGTTGTTGGGTTCTATGAGGAACGTCAAACAACATGCACAGTACTGAACTTATCGAAATAAATCCTAACGCAGCAGAAACTATAGTTAGGATATGGACGTTTACCTTTTAAAATTTTTGCCGACTCTGAGACGATGTAGAGTACCGTTGGTGTAGTTCGTCTGAATACCACAATCTAAAGGGCAGATAGACTTGTCCTCTAGTCGATTCTAATTTACACGTCAAACGAAGCTCGGACGAACGGTGGCTCGGGTCTCGGAGTTGGTGCAGCGGGCAGCTCGGTCGTGGGTCTCACGCGGGTGCGCGTCGGGCGCTGGTGATGAAGATCGCGTGTCCCGACTGCCAATAAGCTGCTAGCCGCGCCTTGAATCGTCGATAGGTGTTCTTCGAGCCACAACAGCGCCTCTTGGAACGAATAAAATTGCAATAGAATTTTGGTGGAAAACTAAAGCAAAGTGGAAGAACAAAAGTTCAGATTTCTATTCATAAAATTGATGATAAAAAATAACATGGGAAATGGCCTTTATATAGGCACAAAATACATCTAGTCCTAATCTACCTAGGGAACTAATAAAGCAGTAAAATATTAAGAATCCTAAACAATCTAGAAATCATATAGCATAAAGGAACCTAGATAACTTGGGGATCTTGAAAATTGACATGCACTCCAAGGAAACCATCCCCTAGCCGCCTCTCTCTCCTTCGTGCGCCCTAAGTCGGCCACCGCCTCTCGCCTTGCCCTAGTCCTCAAGGACTAGGGCGCTGCCTTCACCCGCACGCGCACTGCTATGCGGCGTGC